TGGTCGGTGACAATATTCCAACGGTTGGTGTGTGCATCGAATGTTGCATCAGTGACCCTCGCGCCGAAAGTGATGTCCCTACTAAGATCCCACTTACGGTCAACAAATTCGAAGTATCGGAGAATCTCAGGCTGACTGGGGTATTTCTCTGACCAAGCCCATTCTCTCCAGAGCTCAGGATCAGAAAACTCATAGAATGGCGTGGCAGTGTCGACACGGGCGCCGGGGTAGCGATTGTGCCACCAAACGCCTCCCAATCCGTGGCCTTCTTCAATGACCTGGACTTGGAATCCCTGTTTGCGTAGGTTGCGAAGAAGGTAACATCCGGCAAACCCTGCACCAATGACGATAACGTCCGAATGCAGCTCTTTGGTGTGTGACGGCATTGTCAAATCGAAGCTTCCTGTTCCTCAAAGTCTAGAAACGTGATGGCTATGGAATTGTCTGAGGATGTATCGAGGAATTATCATCATTATAGGAGTCTCATTTATATTTATGTTGCCTATTTTATCTCAATCGAATCGACGAATGCATTTGTCGTTCAGCTGCGTCCTACACATCAATGCGAGTGTCGCCAATGGTAGAGACACTGGATCACATCTCCCTGCACCTACGTTATCAGCCAGTGTTCCACGGCTTTGCCATCCGATAACAATTAGTTCAGGCACAGAGTGTTAGTGACATACCAAGTAATCAACTAGATGACAAACTCTCCTGGGGGCGCTCTCCCTTCCCTGACTATCATCGGATGCGTTTCCCGTAGCGGCACTCAGGTTGTGGAGGGACGGTCCATCAACCCTTCAACAGAGGACATGCGTCGTAAACGGGCAAAGGGCAGGAGTATCTCGCATATTGACTTGGCGCATGCCGCCGGCGGGATAACATGCCACTTTCTAATTGCCGATGATAACAACCAGCCGAACACGTTTTGCTATCTCCCTTAAGCTGGCAGTAACGTGATGTGGATTTCGCGGATTGCGGCAACACATAAGACGGGTCCCCGATTTCCCGCCTTCCGACTGACCATGATTTACCATCCGCTTTCCACACACTGAGTCTTCCTGACCGGCTATACGATGTCGCATCTTACATCATCCTTTCCCATCAGCAATGATGACAAGTTGGGGGATGAAAAGACCGGCGTGCAAGACCTGCAACCCACGCGTAGTATTGTTGTGGGTCAGGTTGAAGACGACCGAAACGGCGAGTTCCATAGGTCCATTTCTCCGCGTCAAATTCATGTCAGTCTTCAATACAGGCGAGAAGCCATTCGCGAAAGCTCAACTCACTATGAAAATAGATTATCTCTCTTGGCTCCAACATCGGAAGCGGCGTCTTTATCGCAACTGGCAAGGCTTTAGCTACTGGAGGCCCCGGCAATATGGTCATTGCATATTTTTTGGTGTGCAGTTGTGTTTGGGCCGTCCTTCAATCACTTTCCGAAATGACAATTGCTTTTCCGGTATCCGGTAACTATATAGACTACGCTGACCGCTGGGTCGATCCAGCATTGGCGTTTGGTGCTGGGTTCGCTGAATGGCTTGGTGAGTGAGACAAAAGGCGATCCTGATTGAGACCTTGCTGTTACTAACATTCGAGAAGGATGGGCCGCGATAGTAGCAGCTGAAGCGGGATTCTTCCACGTTCTCCTTCGATTCTGGGCCCCAGAATCGTTTCCACAAGCGGCAACTAGTAAGTCTCGCGCGTATACGTTTGATCTGAATGCCAACTACTCTACTTGGCGTTGAATTGAAGCTGATTTTCCTCATCAGTTTCTTTGTTCTTATTCGCGTGCTTCGTCATCTTCCTTCTTCCCAACAAAGCCTTCGCCTGGTTTGAATATGTCACGTCCATAATCAAAATCTTCCTCTTCCTGATCATAATTATACTCTCACTAGCGTTGGTTCTTGGAGCCGGGCCAAACGGTTATCTGCACCGGGGAGAAACCTGGACAAGGCTGCCGCCATTTCTCAACGGATTCACCGTAAGCACTGACTTCAGTTCTTGGCAATGAAATTGGATGCAGCTAATATCTAAGTACATGTGTACAGGGATTCGCGAATTGTGCCCTACTAGCAACATGGGCCGTTGGCGACCAAGTTTTCGTCGGCATCATGGGAGGCGAGGCGAATAGTCCTCGCTTTTCAATGGCCCATGCAACAAAGCTCGTCCCATTCCGAGTCAACTTCATTTACATGCTTAGTGTCATATTCATTACAATTTTGGTACCCTCGGACGATGAAAGGCTGCTGGGTGGCAGTAGTGTTTCTGCATCTCCTTTTGTTATCGCTGTAGAGAGCTCTGGAATTCGTGGCATATCCTCGCTCCTGAATGCTGGGATGATGTGTGGAGTTCTAGCAATCGCCGCCGAATCAGTATACTTGTCGTCTAGAGTCCTGCGCTCTATGTCGCATCAGAAACTTATCTCAGGTCGCCTGGCCAGAGTCGACGACAAGGGTCGGCCGAGGCTGGCGCTGCTCGTGACGTGCGTCGTTGCCGCTGTGCTGTCGTACATACAGCTGTCGGGTAAGTGTCATGAGACTGAAAGCAGAGTGTTCTGATTGCGAATTCCTGCTAACATACTTATAGGGGATGGTATCAAGGTCTTGAACTGGTTGGTTTCGATCACTAGTGCGTCTTTCTTCACCAATTGGATCATCATCTCCTTCACCAATTGGCGATTCAGATGCGCCATCAAGGCACAAGGGGACCTTCTTTTTTCGCAGACATATGCGTGGGAATCATATGCATGGCCTTTGGCTCCTGCCTGGTTAATGCTCGTTTCATTGATTCTACTGGCTTCGTGTCTAGCCTGCGGCATCAACCCTATCGTAAGTGATTTCAGATTTCGATGCAAGATATCGTTGATTTCCTATGTCTTCTCACTTCTGTCCTACAAAGATGCTGACTGGGTTATCTTAGGGTGGCGGGGGGTTCACGGCGGAGAACTTTTTCCAATACACCATCGGACTCATTCTCATCCTCGGTGCAACGCTTGGATACAAGATTATCTATAGAACACCCTGGCGTGATCCGAATTCAGCAGACTGCATCACTGGTCGGCGAGAGCTGTCACCTGAGGAGATAAAGCAACTGGACGAATATTACAAGCAGCCGAAGATCAGAAGATTCTTCAGCTACGTACAATTGTGGTAAGCCCATGGGCTAAACAAGCTTGTGATTGATAATAGCAGAGGAGTGTCTATGCTAGATTGATCTAGAGAGTAGCTAAATAACCACCTTATCTTGAAGCTTAATCATTTCGTGTATGAGGTCCCTCAGCCTTCGAACATTGCTAAACGAACTTGGCCACCTTTACAGTTTTCCCAAATCAATCACTTATACGTGGCTTTGGACTACGATGCACCCAGTCGTGTTGGAACCACCTAGGTAGATAGCCAAAGTTGGGCGACTGGATGTACTCATTTGCCTATGATACTTCATGCAGTAACAGAACCGAGATTCTACTTGTCGGCTTGATGTGAAGTGAGGCACGCCTGGCAAACCGACCGGTAAGTTTGTGTGGCACAGCGGAATTTGGAATAACCACAGTATCGCAAAGCTCTTTCTGTTTCACTGTCAACGGCTTCGGATTTGGGCACATCGTCACACAGTTGGCTGTTGAAGATGCCGTGCCGGTAGTACTAGGTGTTCGACATTGGTGGGCTTGGGTGCCAAAACCGGCCAAGGTATCGTTGATTGGCGCCCAGCAAATGATGAGATATCGTGGATGCCGCCAGGTTATTGGGTGTGGTAGGACTGCCGGTTTTCGGATAGACATACCACTCTCGTCGTGGGTGATGTTGAAGCGGGGGGTGATTCTCGGGAAACGCATCCGATTTCCCATTGCAAGACTGTGGCGTCACTGCTTTGGTCTACGGACCCAGTTCCCGGTGACTTCTCCCCCGCACATTGCATTTGTTTCACGGTCGAGGCACGACGGGCAATCCTTGTCGATCGCGCTGGAGCTCCGTCGAAGCAAGGTACAAATATCATGATGGTCACAAACTAGGTAGTCGGGCTGACTGACCCATTCATCACCCTATCGCCGACAACGTCTCCCTCATCTAGACAGTTACTGTTCCTTCCAATGGCATCATCTCCAATCTCCCCAGAGACCTTTCATGTCCCACCCACCCCTCATTCTCCAAATTCCAAATTCCCTGTCATTGTGTATAGAAACGCGCTGGAGAACAAAACAGTGGAAGGCGCTTTAGAGGCGATCAACACCTCGGAGTGGGTCAAGGGGGGTCACTGGAAGATCGCCAACGAAACACTCGCAGCTACTCCCCATTATCATTTGACAACACACGAGGCATACACTGTCTTACATGGCAGCGGCACATATGTTCTTGGGAAATCTCCTCTTGACGCAGACACCGATGAGCTCGGCAACCCTGTGGGTGTCGAATTTGTTGCTCGTGCTGGGGACGTCTTCGCATGGCCAGTAAGTTACTAAACATCGGCAGAACCCGATCAGGATCTGAGCTACTTATACCAACTTCTTTATTTTAGGCAGGAGTGACACACTTTGTCAGGGAATCTGAGGATGACTATGAGATAATTGGGTTCTATGCTTTGGTAAGGACTACTTCAACATCGCTTCCAATCATACGATATGTGCATAAGGAGCTGACGAGGTTTTGAGACGGGTTTCAACTCTAGGGAAGAGCCTTATGATATGGAGTATGCATTGGATTCAGTTCAGGAAACAGACGAGAAACGGGGAAGGTGCGAGAAGGTCCCTGGCCCGATTAAGGATCCGTTATATGGAGAAGGAGGGCCGATGCCATCTCTGTGGAAGAAAAATGATTCTTGATCTTTACAAAAGTGTGTTGTGCGCAAGCAAGACACCATAGGCGGGAAATGATTCCAGGGAATCTGAACAGACATACTTTCAATTGACCAAGATGCACACTATATTCAACTTATGGCCACTTTGTGTTCCTCCTAGACAATATTGATGTGTATCGTAGGTCTGGTTGACTTGCTGCTGTCCGCTAACCTTCAGCCACGGGAAAATCCCAGCTCAAGCTCTCAGGATCCAGCGAGTTAGCGATATCAATCAGAAGGTCTGTGCTAAGCTCGGCCTCCATCGCCAGGCTTTGCTCAAATTCTAAACCTAGGGCCTGGTCTGTTGGGTATAAAGCAACATCATTTGTAGAGGCAGTACGCTGTGTCCCATGAATTTGGGCTGGGACTTCTTCGCCTGCATTGAGATGGCGAAGATAATTATCAAGCTGCCTCAGTTCAGATGAGATCATTCCTGCGATCTTACTACCGTGAGAGCTCATTTCTTCGAGAATGAGGAACACCCGTTGGGACCATGCTGCTTGGTCGGAAATCAAAGTCGGCTCAATGGCTGCAGCCATAGACATGGCGACTGCAGCTGTTGATGTAGCATCCAGATCAAATGTCAGGAAGCTTTCTGTGATCCATCAAATGAGCTACTTCTTCTTGTAAAGAATAATTGAGCAACTTACCCAGTAAACCATGACTCAACAATCTCAATAAGATTTTGATTATCTGTCGCGAAGAATCTGTGCAAACCTGTAGTAAGCTTCTGATGCTATCGGAATGCAGCCACTGCATCAGCACTGCTTCAGATTGGCCGAGTTTGCACTGTAGGAATATGAATAATAGCGGTCTGGTGGTTAGAACGATGCACTTCGTATAGGCCAAGTTAGCATTCTCTCTATACCGAAGTTTGATGTCTCCATACTTGGTGGTACTGAAGATGCAAATGTGCCGAGACACGGGAGACTCCGGATGTGTTCTCACTGGAGTCTATGTCAAACAAACCATGGAGGTCGGTGGCGAGGCCTGCTATACTTTGGAGAACAGCCTTTGTGGCACCCAAGTAGCGACTGTCGAGCTGTCCTTCAATGCCGTAAACAGCTAGTGCAAGATGTTAGCCACCAGAGCGATGGTAGTAAGCTCAAGGTGAGTACATGACTCTTCGCCTTACTCTGATGGATCTGCCCCAGTACCTGCGCCAACTTGATCTGTATGTGCAAAGCGCTGGTTCTTTGTGCTTGCTCGTAAAATATGGGGAACGGTGTGCAGACGCACTCATCCGAGATGAACATAGGCACTCCCATAAGTGCTGACATTTGACGCTCCAAGACATATATTGTCCACCATACTAGCCTGCACCTCTGAACATATGTCTCGTTTAGGTGGTGGCTCTGCATCTCGGTATGTAGGCCATGTTCAAACGCTGTGCTAAGTGCCTGTCCAATCTGGAAGAGGTTTATCAGAAGCTGAGGTCAGAAATAGAGGCATGGCTTACCAACATATCGATAAGCGGCGGGCCGACAGCTGATGCAGTGAAGATACAGCGAGGTACAGCAAATTACCTGCATCCTTTCTATATAGTCACACTCGAAGAAGGTGAAGTCCGGCATAAGCTTCATAGCTTGCACAAACAGGTCTGCCCCAGGAGGTTGGTGTGACTTTGATGTCTGTACAATAAACGCCTTGCCGAATGCTAGTAGAATGAGGTAATGAACAAACCACAGCCGGGGGACCTTTGACTGATCCGCGGCACTTGCGTGGAATGTGGCAAAATGCTCCATGAAACTTTCCTCTTCAAACAGATAGAACAGCCGGCAGCAGTGAAACTTGACGGAATTAATCAGATAGATTGCAAAATCCTGAGTTGGCAAACTGGCAAGGCTGAAATCATCCCCTGGAGATGGAATTCGGCCTCCATCCCACTTCAAGTCGTAAACCTTTCCGTCAAAGAATAGGTTCTCTGGGGACAAGGCAGTGCCGGTGATTGCTTCATGGGTCATAGATAAAACCCGTCGGTTGAAAGCCCAATTGGAAGACGTTCCCATAAATACTGATTAGGCAAGCATTAGCGTACTGCGCCGGAAAAACCTGGCGCCTCAGACGTACCGGGAGTACCACTAGGACCAGGAACCCAGTCTATTGTATGGAACGCAAGTGGATTTGTGAGCGGTGCCTCGTTTGTGGGCACATGAACGCCAAGAGATGAAGCAAGTACAGTCGAAGATGAGGGCGTAATAGGGAAAATGGTTCCCACTGTTCGGTCCTGTGTCGAAAGATAACTTTCAGTGGCGTCGTCAGGGATTTCGACTGTATTATCTGTTAGTATTTGATCTTGAGCGTAGTTATTGAAAGAACAGTCTGCTCTGACGAGTTTTGTCGTTTGAATGTTCATCCAATGGCGGGTCTTGTGAGACCATCAAAGATGCTCGCCGCTCGGATGCGGCCAGCTTTTCTTGCAAGTCGCTGATGTACCTAGAGCCATTTCGTGAGTGAACCGAGTACTAGTAGTTTGATATCAGAAGTAAATCGACCAGACTAAAGTTTTACCTCCTGGTGACCACCACCTTTTGCGACTCGTCAGGAAAGACGCAATCCTGCTCTCTCTTGCTACATTGTTGACAGGGGTCTGAACCCGAGCATTTAATCTTTTGATCGCGGCATCTTGTGCAGCTTCGCAGCCGAAGAATCGTCAACAAACATGACCGATCAAGTCCCGTTGACAGGAGCAGCCATGATAACTTACGCTTTCGGTGTGCGCCTTTTCGAGGCACGGTTTCTCCCAACAACGGTCCTTGCTGACATTGCCGGACTCAATTTTCTTTGGCTTTGACAGTCATATGAACAACACTGCGTATAACAGCTACTTGATGTTTGCGCAAGAACGATAGGAAGACGATGATATGATGACTCGAAGATGATAGATGCGATAAATAGGCGGCTTTGTGGGTGGGGTTCCTTTATCTCGGAGGATAACACCCCCACTTGACATGTATCCGACTATGCGTCCCCACAGCATCTCCCCGGCTGGATGCGAACCCCGCTCTCGGGACTGAGCCCGGCGCTGAGCGTAATGTGGAAAGTATCCCCGGATCCGTGCTAGATCTCAACTAAGAATGATAGCACGAAGATACATCACCGGGAGCATAGACGCCGCGACAGGATATTTGGTCGAATTTGTGGAATTTCCCTCGGTGATATCGCCCGCTTGCGAATCTTGTACCCAAGTCCACTACTAGAATCGCCAGATTATTCGAGTTTTCCCGTGCCGTAGGTATAGCCTGTTGGTCAACAGAGTCCAAACCAGAACTACGTGGATAACTCAGCATGTGGAATTTGAACTATGGCTGTCTTTCTAAAGCTTCACAGAACTTATTGCCGGTTTTCCGTTGACCTGATGCAAACTTTGAGCAATCATGACCATGCAGATCTTTTGTGATCTGAGCCACATCGATTGTCTTGCATATATCTGCCCGATCGATCCGTTGTTCTAGTCATGGTTCATGAGAACTCACTTATCAAATCTTACAGCCCTGTCATTATGTAAGTAACGATAGGAAAAAGATAAACATGAACCAAATTAATCAATAAAACTATTTTAAAGACGGCCTTCAGGTGTAATGGTAATGTCAATTGATGGAGGTCACTTCTTACAACAGACTCAACTTATAGGAGCTGGTCAAAGTGAAGGATGAAAAGCACAGATGGCAACGAGTTCCCTTTCTAAGGCCCAAGCCTCTATAAGCGATCCTAATTTCAATCTAATTCTAAGTCTGATTCAAGTCCTACTTCAAGTCTGTAATACCACTTGAGGTTCCCAGATCAACTCATGGCCAACGCAATACCGTCAAAGGTATATCGAGAACGACGTGAACACTAAGACTAGAAGACAAAAGAGGATTGCTGTGAAGGCCTCTATGTTTGGAGCTCGTATATTTGACAATGGCGGCCTGATAATTGATGTTAGATCATCTTGGGTAAGACCAGAATTTGAACCGAAGCTTACTATCGAGTTGCATCATAACAGATACGGACAAATGCCTACTTGGGGCAGCCGATACCCAGACCAGTATCAAATGTGCAGCAGTCCGCGCCACAGGTATTGGAGTGGGATTCAGGGCAAATTGTGCCTTGCGGGAAGTTAATATAACCGCCTTGCCTGACTCTTGCGTCGTTATCGCGATAACAGCAGTTCTCGACAGTCTTCTTATTCCAGTTGCAGTATGCTGAAGCTTCGCCAAAGAAGCCAAAAGCAGCAATAGCGACCGTGAAAATGGTTGAGGTATGCATAGTGAGGTTTACGGAATTGGAGATATGCCGTTGAGAAGAGAGAAGTAAAAGAAAGACTTTTGTAAAAGTGAGAACGAAAGTGAAGACCGAAGTGATGATTGTCAATGAAGGTTGTGGCGATGATGGAAATGATTATCGATGGATAGTTGTGTGTTCTTATATTTATTATAATCATGACTCTGGGAGAGGCGCAAGTGGGTGCTTCGCAGGAATTCAGTCAGGCGAATTTAGCAATAATCTGCCCTGGATGGAATGGGAAGGGTAAACTTTGTTATTTCGGGAAAGTTTGACATGTATTATCGAAGTCCATGGTCCACAAAGTCTAGGCTCAATGAAGGAGTATAGACAACATGCGAGCTGTGTTGAGCAAAGCCCTTTCGATAAATCCTGCCTTCAGTTCTCCATACTGATGCCAAGGTTTCACGTCCCACGATGATATTTATAGTATGTATCTCCAAAGCACTGGGCGAAAGTTGAGGCCTCGAGTCAGGTCCCTATTTTCTTCATGGCCCTACTTTGTCATCCCTCTTCCCCTCCAACCTCCTTCTCCTGGTCAAACTTGAAATCTTCACAGCTGCGAAGGGCCCGCACAACCTGACTGCAGCTGACCCAAGGTATAGCTTTGTGCTGTTGTGAAGGACGTTCAGAGTTTCTGGTTCATCGCATTGGTGCTTGAATCGGTGTCTGTTGAAAGCTCGAAAGTAAGCTATCCCACCGGGTACACAAATTCTGCCCTGAGGTGCCGGCCCGGTGTATTACATGGGTCAACTAGGGAGTAGACGTGTTAGGGACGTGCCATGGGCATGGGCAGAGCACATGCTTTATCTCCCGGGCATTTAGCCTCTAACATTGCCAAGATCATTTTGTCGTACGGAGTATCCGTAGGCGAAATGACCTGCGGCCTTTTTTCACCGGAAGAGAAGGTAAGCAACACTCTAGAGGAATCAGGACACGAAAGATATTGCTCAGAGTCTGAATGAAAAATGATAAACTGCTAGTAGGTGGTTAAGTTTAACGGGGACCGGAGAAAGTGTTGCTTTGAGCCTTGACAGCAGGTATTGCTAATGCCTTCTGGTCCGAAGATTCATTTTTTATAATCTCGAGCATTTAATTGTGGTTAGTTGTTTGACCGCCTCTCGTGGTTACTACATGAAGTGGTTATTTGCCCAGAAGGGCAGGGCGTATTGTCTCCGGTTCCGCTGGCTGATTCATGGACATGAGCTTGTGATCTCGCTCCTCAGGGCTCATTTAATATGAGAGATGAGTTTAAATAGTATTGTCGTTACATGTGACCTCACAAAGTAGAGCTTGGCTCTAGTCGTAGACCTAGCGAATGATTGATACCCTGTCTCTGGTTCCTGCTCCCCGTACCCCCTTTTTCTTTAAGTCTCCAAATACGGTGGCCGAGTTCGGGCTGCTTCTAACCTTCCATATGCTCACTATAATCGAAGGATTTGGTGTCGTGTAGGCGGGTGTGCGGGTGTTAGCAGGAGGTGTAGTGGGAGTTATATCTTCCTAGGCAGAAAAAACTCGAACAGGGCAACGCCAAGGTGCATCTACAGATTGACAGGAACATCTAGAGATAGCTGCCGGTTTGGTACCTGCTATAATCCCAGAGCAAAATATATCGCAATTAAACAAGATACTAAAGATTTGGCTTCGGTTAGAACACATTACAAACAGCAGTGCTAATGTAGGGCCTGATACCCCACGCCTCTCGTTTGCGACATATGGAGATTGGTCGCAGCACTAGAAAGCATGGCAAACGTCTATGGGATGCCTGATAACGCGGTCCCATCGATGATGTGACTGCTATCCGCTGTGAATAGCCATACCGGCGTCTTCAAGCCTAAGTAACCCATGTAGCATGATATGAGTGACACGCCCGTATCTTATTTCAGAAGTGCGGTGGTGCAGAAACACCAGTAAGCCCGCATTGCCCCTCGGAGCCACCGAGACTGGGCACGGGATTTTGCCCGTGCTTTCAAGTGGACCACTAATGGCCAGAGCCAGAAGGTTCGCCTTCAGTATGTGTCGACGGGGTTCGCCGTTGCTTGGACACTGTACCGCTAGTCCATCAGGCTGACTCTCGGGTCGCACCAAGGATCTGGCGTCAGGATAGACGTGAATCGCTGGCGCACTAGTCGCGGTGCGTAGGGGCTTCGGACCCGGCACGTCGCACGATCGCTAGAGACGCATGTTGGCTAGCTTCAATTGTGATTTTGGACGGCCTACTAATCGTATGATCCGAGAAGACACGACGCGCTGCACTTATTCAATATTCAACATTCTCAATGCTTGCCAAACTAATTTACGCGTTCATGAACCATTAGCTCCTCCTCGCTTACACCAAATGCTAGAGGCCCGTCATCGATTACGGTGGCTCGACGCACATCACGCGCAGTCATCTCGGCGTTGTAGGGGTTCGCGCGATGCATGGATTTTCTGTTAGTTGTTCAGTGTAAGCATACTGTGCCATCTCAGTTGTTCTAGGAATGAAACAATAGTACAGGGCAGAGGGACAACACACTCACCGATTATCCCACCACACCATATCACCACCTTCCAACCACTCCATACTGAAAACATACTAGTAGGGGTCAGCATTTTCGATCCATTGAAGCTAATTTAAGCTTCATCGGTGTTCTTCAGGATTACCTTGGACTGTGTGCAGTGATTGATGAGCTCCCAAATCAACTTCTGACTCTCTTCAAAGCCGCGCCCTACGACGAGCTTGGCGTGCGCGGCCAGATACAGCGTCTTTCTCCCATCCGGGCCAACCTGAACGAGTCGGTGATACGCCGACTTTTCAGCGGCCCGCTCATTTTCTAGGGGCTGTGCAAAGGCCTGTGGAGAGGCAAGACGGCGTGAGTGCCACAAATCATGCTCAATGATCAGATCCTCCAACTCGTCTTTCTTGGATTCTGAGAGATCTGCATATGCTCGCGCCGTGTCGGCAAAATGCGTCCACGAGCCGCCTCTGGCTGGGCTGCCGTGGGATAAAAGCAGCGAGTACTTCGAGCGGTGCTGGTGAAATGAAGAGTCCTGTTTCTGTGAGTTGTGTGACGAGGCCATGTGACAATGTCTGGACTGACTGTATGCCACAAAGCATTGCCTAAGCTATGATCCCAACGTCTCTGATTAGGCTGTACAATGGTTCCATCGAGATTGATACTGCACAATAGTCAGTCCCCTGTTTATAGAACATTGTCAAGCCTAGCTTCATCATACTTGCTGACGTCCCACAATAGCGGATCACCTATGCGGTCGTTCTCAATGCCGTAGAAGAAAGGGTTGATCTCAAGCTCCCGGCCCAGCCTCTTAGCAAAGGCTATGTGGCCTTTGTTGTCCAGTCCAGTCTTGCGGAAGATCAGGATGCCGTAATTATCTATAACCCTTTTGAGCTGTTCAGAATATCAAAAGGTCAGCAAAGTTCGGTTGTCTCAATCAGAAGCGCTCACCTTTTCGATGTCATCGGCAGGAAGTGGACGGGACCAATCAATCCCATCAATCTTTGCACCAAATGATGAAATCCCATCATGTAATACGGGAGTGATGAGAATATGCCCGTCCTGAATCGGCTGGTGGTTGCCACCGCGGCTCTCGGCACTTGGTTGTTTGGAAGGTGGGAACGTGTTCGGATACGTCCGCGGGAGACTCTGGATCATCTTAATGGCCGACATGATGGCGCTAGGGTAGCCTACTGCGTAGCTCTAGACATAAAGTTATCAGATGGAGTGAGCTTCATCGCTAGAACTCTGGTGATTATATCTCACACACGAGTCTCCACTTAGCCAGCGGCTCAGTTGCCGACTAGACCGATGATGCAGAGGCCGACCGAACCGATAGGGCCTAAGCCTGCATCGAACAGACACACAAAGTCCGCGTACTGCTTGAACCTTTGAGTACTGCTTCATTACAATTCTGTCAGTGAACTTTGAGCCACGCCACTCAAACTACCGTCGCAAAATGACATCTCAGGACAAAATTCTTATTACAGCTGGACCGTACCAGTTCCTGGCCGCCTTTGAGCCGGCGGCTCCTAAGACGGTATCGGTGTTTCGAAAACTACTACCGTACCGACAACAAGTCATTCACGTCCGTTGGAGCGGCGAAGCGGTTTGGGTGCCGCTGGGGGATCAGGATCTTGGCCTGACGTTTGAGAACCACACGAGCCACCCCAGTGCCGGCCAGATTCTTTTCTACCCCGGAGGCTATTCTGAGACGGAGCTTCTCTTCTGCTACGGCGGTGTATCGTTCGCGAGCAAGATGGGTGCCTTATCTGCAAATCACTTCTTGACAATTACCGAAGGTGGTGAGAATCTTAGGCCGTTGGGCCAGCTAGTCCTTTGGCAAGGCGCACAAGACGTTCTTTTCGAGTTAGCAGACGAGGAAAGGTTCGTTATCCTTGAACTTAACCGATGGCGTTGAACTGACATATTCTATCCAGAACTGCCACATTCAGGAGGGAACAACTGAACGGCCAGAAAAATTCAAAAATCTCCAAGTTGTAGAGGTTGAGGATTCACGTATAGTGGATGTCATTCGGGATTGTGCATATTAGATTTCTACATTACGCGAAAAGATGGCCGAGATTCTATAGGGTGCTCTCCGGTTACTTGTTCTATCAAGAAGGCACCTTGCAGAGTCTTTTGGACAGATAAAATTTATCACGAATACAGTTGAAGTGTGCCTAGCCATTCATGTTCACAAATTTTTTTATCACTGTTTCAACGGTAGCAGACTAACGACAAGTTGCTACGTCGACTATTACCGGCGTTATGGACGCGACCCATTGAGTGCAGCCTGAGAGCATTATTCACCCGAGCCAGGGTGAAGTCCCAAGACTAGATGTGTACCTTGTCCTGTCAGACAGTCGTACTGGCTATCTTCGAAATGGAGCTTCTAAATTCCAAATGACGGAAGGAAATCTAACTTGATAAGCACTGCCGGTTGATAAGGCCTATCGGCCCCGTCGGCTCCGTCGGCAAGCGGGCCGATTGATTAGATACCGAGCCCCACCCTTCACGCAAAGAGTGCCTAACCTCATTATCTTTGTATGATGGCCCAGCTTAACTTGGCCCAACGTCAAAGGTCTATTAATTAATTGCCAAAACGTATTGTTCGATAAACAACATCATTAGAATTACGTCCTTGTTCTACACCAAGACGATCACAATGGGCCTGATACTGAATCCTGGGGCTTATGGACCCTTACCGACCTTCTTCAATGAAAAGCAAGAAATCGACTACGAATCGTATGAGAAGCATCTACTCAGTTAGCCATCACTACCACCCCGAGTACGAGTTCTGACTAACCAGCAACTACGCAAGATCTTGCTAGAAGAGGAATCAGTAGGTTATCAATAACAACCTATCAATCCACTAGATAAAGTACCCAGCATTGACTCATCTAGATCCTGTGTGCGCGGGGTCGCTTGGCGAAGCAGTACATTTGGTATGCATAGAGACTCTAGATGATACTTCATCCCAGGGTACGATTCTCTAATCATCGAGATGCATAGTCTCCAGAGGAAAGAGTGGATCTCATCAGATTCATACGACGCACACTCGACGATGCTGGCTTGACGGACATGCCCATTGTGGCAGGTGTGGGCGGTTCAAGTACCAGAGAGACAGTTCAACTCGCACATGCGGCTGGCAATGCCGGGGCGTATGTACTGCGCATCGATTATTTATATCCCCCGTATTTTTCTGCTAAGATGTGCACCCGACAGAGATGCAGGTCTAGTCATCCTTCCTGCTTATTACGCTGCAAGCTTGAGCACCGACCAGGACCAGATCATTCAGTATTACGTCGATATCTGCAAGGAATCGCCTGTGGGTGCCTCTGACACTGAATGATTCAAATCCTTGGTAAAGATTCCCTGACACTGCCAGATTCCACTCTTTCTATACAACTTCCCAGCGAATGCGGGAGGATTGGACATGTCATCGGCTGTAATCGAGGCTGTGATACGCCAGGCACCTAACTTGTGCGGCGTCAAACTCACGTACGTGATAATGTGGTACTTAATGTGGTACCCATGTTTTCTTGTGGCCTCTAGAATACTTATTATCGTCTCGGGTAGCTGTGGCGGTAGTGTTTCGAAGTTGGTCCGCCTCTCATCCTTTATCAATAACGAGCCGTCGGTCAATACATGCCGGCCATATCCATTCCTTCTCTTGGATGGGCTGATCTCTGATCTGACACCGTGGATGAAAAGTGGCGGCCATGGCACCGTCAGCGGCATACCCAACTTTGCCCCGGCTGCTTCTATGCGGCTGTGGGCACTCCTGAGCAAGCCCAATCCGACAGAAGATGAAAGACAAGAAGCAGATAAGATTCAATCCATTCTGTCTAATGCTGATGTGGCAGCTGTGCCTGCAGGTGTAAGGGGAATGAGTAAGTTGTCACTTTTGAGTTCAAAGTGAAGATGAATTGTGTTACTCTTGCTGACACTAGCCTGTGAAGAATATGTTTTACACAAGCTACATGGGTATGGGATAGACCCCAGACGGCCCTTGTTGAAACTGGGAGAAACTGAAGGAGAAAGGTTGATGTCACAATTTGAAGAAATGATTCAATTGGAGGCAAAGTACTCCAAGACGGCGTAGCCTATAGATCAAGGGATTAATGGTATGACACAACGGCTTTGTGAAACAATGTCATTCCATGTCCTTGAGTGTCTACAATCTAAGCTTAGGCCACTGACAGATGCTCGAGTCTCCATAGTGCGTGTGGGCAGTTTTCACTGATAAAACAATGTGAATGAGAATTTTCTGACTTGCGCAAAACCTCAAGTGTTGTCACATCACTGCTTGGATCAGTCATGTTATTGAGCATTGTTATTAAGCTTGACATTACCAACAAGACATCATGAAACTAGTGCTGATGTGGGACAACATCATCGCGCGCTGAAAGGTGTATGGTGACATGATTTGAAAAGATTAACATTGGATTTGATTAAGTTGCTATTTGAACAATGTATCAGTGCTCAACTAATCGCTGCGACCCGAAAACAGAAATTCTCCAAGTGGGTGGCATCTTCTATTATGCCCGTCTACTACACGCAGACTTCCCACACCACGCGTGTTATCCCAGTCCACTCATACCAGATTCCGATTTACAAAACGTATCTAAAGTACGGCGAGTATTCACCCATCTCGGCTAGTTGTTTCTCGGTGTACTTTCCTTCTACTTCTGCAAGGGGTATACGATCCTTTCGAAGGTTGGCGCGGCGGAGTAAATACCAGTTTGTGATACAGGCGCCATAGCCACCTACAGCAACGAGAACGATGATGGTGATAAAGCCGGAGCGATAGGTAGGGGCTTCGTTGCCAACAAAGATATTTACGCCGATGCAGCCCCCAGCTAGCTGGCCCCAAGTCGACATCCAACCCATTGCGGCGGCTCGCTTGGCCGGGTTACGCACGTTGGTGCCCAGCCACGAGCCAACGGCAGGGCCTTGCATGTTATAGCCAGCGATAACGAGGAAGAGAGCAAAGTAACTGAGCCCTGAGAGGTTGGGGTAGTAGAGGGAAGGCCACAGAATGATAATACCGATGGTGCCAACCGTGTAGCTGATGATCAAAGACCGCGCCCGGCACTGGTACCGATCAGAGTAGAATGCAATGGCGATAACGCAAAAGAATGCAAATACATATGGCGGAGACGTTAATGCCTGGGCTTGAACGGAGGAATAGCCCAAACTCTTTACCATCTGTTACAGTAGAATGTTAGCAGCGGGCCTTTGCCAATACCACTCCCTGGAAAATTTACCGTTGCTAAGGTGTAGTTGACCGAGTATGTGGGTACAGAGCCACCAAATGCGAGAAGTGAAGCAACAAGGTAGGTTTTCCAGTCCTTGACGGCCTCAAAGAAAACACTCCAACGGAATGTCATGTCGGGAGGCACAGGACCATCACGGTACTTGACGCGAAGTTTGAGATACCTCATCTCATCCTCGCTGAACCATCGGGAGCTCCATTTCTCGGGGAAGTCTACGCATAGCAGAAGACCGAGGCAACCAACCACGATGGTGATGCATCCTGGACGAAAATATAGTCAATATCAAACTAACGAATCAATGATAGCCGAGTAACAGAGATGATGCATACCCTCGATGATGAACAGCCACTGCCATTGCCTCAGGCCATGATGGTCCTGAAGGGGGCCAACGGCGTATGCAAGCAGGCCGCCAAAGGCACCGGACAGCAGAGTCGCCGAGTACCACCATGCGCAACGCGATTGTAGCTCGTTTGGTAGGTACCAGCAACTGATCGTATAAAAGCAGCCTTGATACATACCCGCCTCGAACAACCCGAGCAATACACGGCAGACAACAAAATCGTGGTAACTCTTGACCCAGGCGCCGCCAAGAGTCACACAGCCCCAGCAGATAACGAGTGACGACAGCCAGAAACGGGGACCAATACGACGCAGCATCATGCTGTTTTTTATGATAAAGGTCAGCAATGCCGAAGAGAGGATACGGAGGTAAGTGGTCGTTAGTATGACCTGATGCAAAGTGACTTACTTGGATGGTGCTTCGAACATGGCGTACATGATGATGAACCACGTCAGGGCTAGGTTGAACTGCGTGTTGGTCATGTTGGTGTCTTTCATGAAGGTGTAGATCTTCACGTTGCCAGCATTGGTCCGATCAATCGAGTTCAATAGGTAGTACATGAACAAGAATGGCAGGATCCGGGCATCGAGGCGCCTGATCATGCTCCGGTGTGCCTTGGGGTTGGCCGTGAAGTGGTCCTTGAGGCGGAGATACTCGACATATTCGGCGGTGTGCACGGCATCTAGTATGCCGGGGGCCGGAACCTCGAGGGTGGTTCCCACCTGCATCTCAAAATTCTTGCTGTCGTCCATGGGGCTCTTAGATGCGGCCTTGGGCGTCTCGGCGGACGAGATCGACGTTGAGGGCATGATGCAAGCGAGCTGGTGACTGTTCCTTGGTGAAGCCTTGGAATAATGGCCAGAATTCTGCATCATCATCTGTACCAGCCCGGTGGTTCAAGTACTTCGGGCTTCCACACGACCTCGGGAACATTGTGTTATCACTATCGCTGTTATCAATTTCGGCTTTGTCGGCACGGGCCCGATGCCGGCGATAAGAACCTCAAGTCTATTAGCGCTGTTGCTGGCTTTCTCTTTTAGTAATAAGAGCACCCGACAACGGAATTGTGGGCAAGGGACACAGTCAGGAAATCATGGATCACGGTCGGTTGGTTGCCGATTTCGACGACGACGAGGTCCTGCCGGGAGAGGCGATCGAGACCGACGCCGACAGGAGCGCGGGGGGACCACGCCCGGCAAAGATTCATCGGGCTTCCAAAGGTATCGTTACCATCTCCCCCAGTGCCATCTCCTGCTACTGTTCCTAGTGCTGCATGGCGCGCTGACCAGTCTATCTCGCGTAGCCTGTATCCAATGTCGCGGTCGTAAGCAGAAGTGCTCGGGACCTGGCGGTGGCAGCGGCGCCGGCCTCTCGGCATCGGCACCGGAAGACCAAGCTCGACGACCCTGTCGGCGATGCGCACAGTCGGCCGTTCAGTGCTCTTTCACCACCGCCACCAATGACCAGGGATTGGATGATGCAGATGCTGCCAGCCGAAACGCCCGCAAGCTTGATCGACTGCAGAAGCAGATGAATGAGCAGAACGATCGCATCAACCAACTGGAGACCACCGTGCGCAATCTCAGGACTGCCACAACTATCGTCGCACAGGGGGGCAAAACTCCAGGTTCGTGCACAAGTGGGACGGATATCACGAACTCGCATCTACCGCAAACGATGATCGGCACTCGCAGATCGTATGATGAGGTCAACGAATTAGCAATACCTCCAATTCCAAAGCGAGCAAGGATCCGTAAGGACGGAGTGTTCGCCAGCGGGCCCGCGATGTTCCAGGATGGTGGTCCAGGGCGCCGAAGCGATGCTCAGGGTGTAGTGGACTTTGGTACACCTATGTCGATGCTTCGTCATTTGCGCCACGACAACAGTGACATGAGCATGGAGAACGAGGCACTAGATCCAATAATGTGTGGTGTCATGTCAACGGATCAGGCCCAAGAAAGCTTCGACACGTTCTTCAATCACTGCCACAAATGGGCTCCGGTGCTCTGCCCACAAACCCAGACCTCGGCGGCCGCCATCCGCCGAGCCTGCCCGACGCTGTTTATATCCGTCTGCTGCATAGGATATCGCTTCACCAATACGTCTACCCCCGATGCGCAACGTCGGTACATGGCTCTCGTCTCGCTTCTTGACCACTCCCTGAGCCGTCTCCTGCTGAGGCCAAACCTGGCCGACGTGAATCTAGACCATATCCGCGCAATACTCCTGTATATACAGTGGATGCCGATTGATAACATCAGCAACCCTTCGCGGTCGACCAGATATAATGCCATCTCGGCTTGGAGCATGCTGGGACTGGCTATCCGCTATGCCCTTTTTCTCGGGCTGCACCAGAATGCTGTACTCCCTTTTGACTCGAACGAGGGTTCAACGCCAACATTGGAGGATGTAGGCCGGTTGCGTGTCTGGATCAATTTGCTCACTTGCGATGCTGCTTTGACACTTTCAAGCGGTCTCCCAGCGACACTGAACCCAGATCCGGTGGTGGCGGTTGTTGATTGCTTCAGATCACATCACAGCGCGAGTCATCCTGACGACACGAGGAGTTCGGCGACATGCGAACTAGTCTCTATTCTCAAACGGGCCGTAAGGCGCAGTGGAAGCCCCAATGCGCGCTCCCTAGATGCCGCCTGCTTGCAACAGGTGAATCTGGAACTGGATACATTTGAGGCGGACTGGAACCCCGTCATTGGCGACCAAATCCAGCACTACCAAATGCCTTTCACGACTTTGCGGTCTTATCGTCTCTCCATCAATAGCGCCTGTCTTACGCCGTTGTTGCGCGCGTCAGGAAGCCCTGGTCGCATATCTATCTACATGCTCCAGGCTCTGGAAGTCAGTTTACACACAGCGGCCCTTACTATCTTCGCGCTCTCCGAACAATCCACACACCAGCCGTGGGCAAACTACAAGACGGTTGAAGCACTGCCGACGGGTAGCTACACACCCGACATGGACGCCATCAATCGCTTAAAATATTCAGTAGACTCGACATGGATCTCGTACAGCTTTGCGACCATGTTTCTCGTCTTGTGTTACAAAAACGACATTGTCGACGAAGACTTGAAAATTTTAGCCCTTTGCTACAACAATGCCAAAATCGTGACATTTCCCCAGCAACAGACAACTTCCTCGTTGCTCTTCCGCCTGATCTCGTTGGCAGTGCAGATATTTGATCTCGCAAGCACAGACTTGCTGGCTCATCTCGCCATGGATCAAAAGTCTCTCTTGTCTGGTGTATTTGCCGTTGTTCTTGGCGATTTGGCTACGGAAGACGAGGTTCGTTCCGAGACGCCGGCACCTGCTCCGTATTCCGATCGAGATGTAGAAGCCCTCTTTGATTCAATGGTGAATGGTATGGACCTGGGCTGGTGTGTCGAATAAAGGTCATGCGGTGTCTGATGTGTTTGGCAAACCCTTCGGGGCTTCGACACAGCTTCTGAATGGCTCATGAATCATAATGAACCTGGTAGGTTGCAGCCCGCGCTGAATACATGTACGTTCTTCGTTCTGTTCACATTGTCTTAGGTACTTCAAGCAATTGATTTATTATTTATATCCATATAGCAAAGAAAGGAGACTTGTTCACGATGCGCGTGCGCAATGTCACATATTGAATCTCACATATCAGCCCTGCGTAAAACGCAAATTTTAAGCACCAGTCGATAAACATGTCTAGATCAGGACAGTGAGACAGGGAAATGAATTGCCCAGACTGATGTTACTGGTGATAATGAGGAATAATTGCCACGAGAGGGTGTATTGAGACAAGTCCCGCGAAGCATTGGAGACCTTATTTCAGAAGCGGCGTGATGTCTCCCCTACATCCCACACTGGACCGTCTAAACCGTGACGATGGAAGATCTTCATCGCATCGCACAATGTCCATTTTGTCCAGTTCGCATTGGCGTGTTGGCCATACCATTCTTTCGCAAATTCCCAAATTTGCTTTAAAGGTCGGACATCTCCTTTCGGAATCCCCCTTGTAGCACACCATTCGTCCACCTGAGCTTCGTCTCGGAAAAGGAGCTGCACAGAACAGGTGTAAATGACATTGTCCCATGCCTTACTCATAGGAACTGGAAAATGCACAACATAATCCGCATCTGACAGGTACCCGTTCTTGGCCGTGATTGAAATTGCTTCTCCGATCCCGCCAGCCCTTGTTGTGAGGGTTGTGGTCCCATCTGCCAGATGCATGACGCCAAGCGAACACCAAGCGCAGTTCCCCCACCACTGACGATTATCGGAGGATACGACACAAGTCGTAGGCGATGCTGAGAATGGATGGCAGATCCAGATTTCGTCGGACTCAGGATGTAGTACGACACCATGGTAATCTGCTAAGGCTCGAAGACTTTGACGTGCACTTCTTTCGTCGACTCTGAACTGTATCTGTATTTCGCCAATCGTCGGTGGGCGCGACCTTCTAAGGAATGAAAGGATGATAAATTCGTGAAGGCTAGAATGATCCATGGTGGTGGGGTTTTGGAGATAGATAGTAGCGAATAGCAAGACAACAGCTATGACTTCCGGCGTCGCCTTTAAGTACTGCAGAACTTAGGTTTCCAAGGGCATTTATATGAAGGACAAGGTGGGGAGGTCAATTGGGAATGGGCGCGCCCTTTCGTATACAAGATTCTGTGGGGATTAAGTGTAACACAAAAAGTGCTATAGGGCGCGCTATAAGGCGCTTGGCCTCTGAAGCAAGCATTCTATCCGTATAGGGCTAATAAATAAGTCTAAATAAAAAGGTAGTAAGCTATCGACTACTAAAAGGTAATAGTATAATAACTCTATAAAAAAAGCCCTAACATCTATTATTTACGTTAATAGCCTACTAATAATTAAGTTTATATAAAAAAAATTTCGGCACTAGTAAAATATAAGGGTTATAATAATTAAGATTAATATTTAATAATAATTAATAATCTAAATACTATATATATCGTAACGAGTTTAAAATAAGTAAGCTTATTAAAAAATTAGTTATGAGTTAATTGATATTAATAGTACTATATTTAATTATAAATACGGTTATTTTAAAACTGGTTTACTTTTTAGTTAGTATTATAGCTAGCTAGTTATAGTAAGTATATTAATAGAAGTTAAGGCTACGAATACTAAATAAATAGTATTATAAGTATAAATAGTTTTTTTAAATATTACGCCTAATACGTATAGTAAGACTAGGGCGGCCTTATAGAACCTATAGCAGCTATTATACTATATATATATAAATACGAACTTAGAATAACTCTTCTTAAAATAAAAGAATTATAAATAAGTTACGTAATTATAATTATATAATAAAATAAAAAACGGACGCTTATAAAAAATAAAATAAATAATCGTATATAAATAAAATAAATAACCGTTTAGTAAACGGTTAAGTAATCGTAAATAGTAATTAAGTAGGCAAAATCCGTTTAAGTTTAAAGAATTTTCAAAAACCAACTTTTATTTTTTTAAAAAGCAATTTCTTTAAATAAATATTTAAAATTCTTATTTCTTTTTTTTTAAAAAAAAAGACTAATATATTTTCTATTTTAAAAACTTTTTTAAGACTCTATAATTTTATAATTAAGATTATAGTTTCTTTATATATATAAAAACTTTTTTAAAAGAAATATTTTTAAATATAAAAACTTACTTTATTATAGTAGCTATATAATACTTTATTAATAAAAACTCGTATTTTATTTTATTTAAATAATTAAATTATAATAAAGCGACTAAAGAATTAAAGCGACTAAAGAATTATAATAAATCTATTAATTTTTTAGTTACTAAGTAATAACTTAAAAACTAGTAATAAATCCGTTAATTCTTTTAGTTATTTAAATTTATTAATTCTTTTAGTTACTTAAGTTTATTAATTTTTTAGTTACTAAGTAATAACCTAAAGATTAGTAATAAATCCGTTAATTCTTTTAATTACCTAAATTTATTAATTCTTTTAGTTACTAAGTAATAACTTAAAGATTAGTAATAAATCCGTTAATTCTTTTAATCACTAAGTATTAACTTAAAGATTATTAATAAATTTATTAATTCTTTTAGTTATTACTTAGTTAAAAAATTATATAAAATTTATTAATTTTTTAATTATTAAGTATTAACCTAAAGATTATTAATAAATTTATTAATTCTTTTAATTATTACTTAGTAATTGAAAGAATTATATAAAATCTACTAATTCTTTTAATCGCTAGGTAATAACCTAAAAATCGTAATAATTTATATAATTCTTTTAGTTATTACTTAATAATTAAAAGATTTATTAAAATTAGATATTTAATAACCTTAAGGATTCCCTTATTATAATAGTTATATAATATTATTTAAAACTCGCTCTTTTTTTAGTTATTTCTTAATAATTAAAAATCTTTTTTATTAAACTTAATTTATTTTAAATTTGATTTTATTTTTAAAAGTCGTACCTAGTTAATAATTAATTATATACTATTAAATAGTCGTTTTTTAAAATGACTTAGCTAAATTTATAGCTATATATAAGTAATAGTTTTAAATAAAATATCTTTTTAAACTTTTAGTTAAATATAACGAGGTTAGTTAAATTATACCCTATTTTATTATAAATAATTCATTTTTAGTAACCCGTTGTTTCTTAATATAACGTAATTTAATCTCGAGATCTAATTAAAAATAAAATATAAATTTCCTTTCTAAATATATAAAGGGATTACTATTTATAAAAATAAAAATATCCAAAATTCTTTAATAAATAATAATTATAGGTATCCTCTATTATTATTTTTATTATTACAGGTATTAAGATATATAAAAAGTATTATTATTTTTTGAAGTTCGAAATAATAGTAAGGCTTACGTTATAATAAACGCACTATATAAATATAAATCCTAGTAATTATATTATTATAAATATATAAATAGTAAGTAGTAGAGCTATTTATAAATTATTATTAATTAACGCATCGTTAACTATAGTATTGTTAATTATAGTATTATTATTATTATAAATTTATTAATTTTATATAATATTTATATAGTATTATTTACCCTTTATAATTAATATAACGAGAATTATACTTAACTTAAATACTATTTTAAGATTAAAATTAAATTTATACCCCGTTATTACCTAGTTATTTATAATTAAAGGCTATAAAGTTTTAAAAACGAATAAAGTATAAAATATAAAATAAGATTATAAAATAAAAACTAATATTATAATTTAAATACTTAAATAGTACGGGTAGTTTATTAATTTTTAGAATCATATTTAGCGTATTTAGTACTTTTATTCCTTTTAAGTTATAATTATTTAAAAACGGAGGAGATATTATTTAAGAAAGCTAATAATATAAGTAGTATAAATTATAAAATATCCTATTTTTAATTATAAATTATTTTAATTAAGCTATTTAAAACGTATTTATTTTTATTATATATAATACCTTATTTTTAATAAAATCTCGTTTTTTTAAATTATTATTATATCCTCTTCTTAAACTAAAACGTTTTCTTAAAACCCTATATTATTTAGAATAGATTTCTTTACTAAAATATTATTTAATCTTTAGGATATACTTAATATTATACTTAAAAATCCTATATTTTTATTAAAAATATAAAAATATTTTTAAAAATATACTAAATATATTTTATTTTATTATTTTAATTAATTTTTTAAAATATTTTTAAATTTTTTTAAAAATAAGTAATTTATACCTTTATTTCCTTCTTGATATAAATAAAATATAATAATTATACAAAACTTAATACCCTTATTAATCCTTCTTATTCTACCCTATAACTAATATAATTAATTAACTTTTATAACTAGCTATTCTTATTTAGCCCGTTTTAACTTTTTATATTTTAATAAGTATATATATAAAATTAATATTCTTAAGTCTCGATAAAACCTTATTATTATCTTGAATAATAGCTCGGATTCTAATTAATTATAATATAAAGTAGGCCCCAAAAAGGAGGTTTATAAGTACTAATACTATATTTTATTAAATAATACTATATTAATACAGGCTTAGGTTAGGGTTAGGTTAGGTTAGGTTAGGTTAGTTAGTTAGGGTTAGGGTTAGGTTAGGTTAGGTTAGGGTTGCTGATCACTGAATGTCCTCATAGTACTGGCGTCTTCTTACTACGTTCCTCTACTTCGGTCCATTCTCGCTCGATCTGCTATTCCACGTCTACTTCCTTCAGCGCTACGCGCGATTACTCGAGGAGTCCTCTGGCCGCTCCCAGCACACTTTTCCTGGTTGCTCGTTTACTCCATGGCGAGTCTTCTTCTCTTGTCGCCACTGGTCTCGATGCCGTTCTTGGGGCACCCACTCTCTTCAACTCTCGTTTATATTTGGTCGCGGCGTAACCCGGATACGAGATTGAGCTTCCTTGACTGCTGGTCTTCACAGCCCCTACTTACCGTGGGTTTTGATGGCCTTCAGTCTTATCCTCCATGGCTCTATTCCAAGGATGAAATTATGGGCGTGGTGATCGGTCACATCTGGTACTTCTTTACTGATGTATACCCGCCTTTGCACAATGGGTCGCGTCCTTTCGACCCTCCAGGCTGGTGGAGGAGGCTTTTCGAGGCGGCAGGTGGAGGAAACAGCTGATGGCATCAACAACGAGATTGCCATTGCCGGAGGCCCAGAGCTTGCTGCTGATGTACGATGACGGGACATGTTGGGCAAAGAGACGCACGTTGCGAAGAGAACATGGAGACGGAAAAGCTGGTGGGATTAGCAATATTTGCATGGTTCTTGGCGTTGGGGTATCAATACCGCCATTAAGCGGCACATGTCTTTGTATCCATGCATGATCTTCATCAACGAAGCACCTCAGGCTTGAATTCGCCATAAGCATAGATACCTTGGAGCTAACTTCCACACCCGACAGTTATGCCAGGCGAAAGCACATGTCAACGTAAGTGTTTCATGCATTGTTATCCATGTTCTCTTCGCAACGTGCGTCTCCTCTTCTAATATGTCGTGAATCAATATGCTTCGGCTGGCATTGCTGTTTCTTCAGTTCCCTTGAGGTAGCCAATTCACATTTCAAGCGATGGTTTTGGCTCCGACTCCGGCCGTCTTGACTTCCATGCGCGGTCGCAAAGGAAGGCCGGGCTGCTGCCGCGCGCCGGTGGTGGGGTCCAGCCGGAATGACCTATGGCAGCCCCGCCCACGTGCTACCTGACTTACCTTAAGGTACCTAGAGGTAGACCAGGTCCGTACGGATAGATACGGATGGACGGACAACGACACGCTTCATTTTCAGCACCTCTTCTAATGACCCCACCTGCTGAGCCAATTGCGTCATTTCAAATACAAAAAGTGAACCCGACCTCATTACTGCCTCCAGAGCGCAATCGAAGTAATACCAGCTCAATACTGTTGCCAACCACAGAATCTTTTGATATTCTACTTTGCGGAATATTCTTGATACAAAATACTTACAGTGCCATCTATACAGGCATACAAAACCTCCAAGTCTCATTTACGCACAGCTCTCAGGCTTGCGATACACTACCCACTCACCAACATGAGGGCTTATTGGTATGACGGCCTTGATGTAAGTTGAGAAGAAGCCTTTCTTTAAATCTTCAAAATGACCAAAGCTTGAGTCGTCGGCAATAATTAACCACTGACTATCAACGACACCATAGGGTGACCAGCGCCTGGCACATGACTCTGGCAAGGAGGTTACCGTCGAAGATCTGAAGAAGCTTGGTGTCTTTTACCACCAAATCCCCAATCTGGATGGGGTCAACCAGCTGGCTTCGGACCGCGGCTATAGGAACCGAGACGAGATTGTTGTGTCGCCAGAGAAGATGGGCGAGATCTATGAGGAAAAGGTTAAATCCTTCTTCCACGAGCACTTGCACGAGGATGAGGAAATTCGCTATGTTCGCGACGGTCAAGGGTTCTTTGACGTCAGAAGCGCCGATGACGCTTGGGTTCGTATCCGTGTTGAGAAGGTAATATCGCCATGCTCGTCGGCAAATGGCGCTGCAACCAGCTGACCATTGGCAGGACGACTTAATCATCCTGCCTCCTGGCATCTACCACCGCTTTACAACCGACGAGTCGAACGTAAGCAGTGCATGTACCCAGATGTTGTGTAGTTTGCTAACAGTGAAAAGTACATCAAGGCAATGAGGCTCTTCAAAGATGAGCCCAAGTGGACCCCTTTGAACAGGACGAAGGATCTTGATGTGAATCCGCACAGGAAAGAATATGTTGAGCAATACCTTCAGAACGGCGTGTCAGCATGAACAACCAGCCAAGGACATGGTACATGTGGGAGAGTCTGTGGGCATGAGCGAAGCATGTGGATAAGATATCTAGTGGGAGTATGGAGATGATTCGTGTCACTTGCGGGATCCTTTGCACTCTAATCATGTTTCCGAGTACAGCAAGTCTTGCTGTGAAGGCACCTCTTTGACTAATGTACGACTTGGCAGACAAGCGCTAGACTGGGCAATGCCTATACTGACATCTCCTTCTACTGCACGGCGCAAATACAACAAGGTCTGACGAGATTTGTCCCTGTTGTCTGATTCCTCCATCACATGAAGACCGGCTTGCCAACCCCGAGATGCCAACGGTGAAAGGCCGCTCACCCGTAAGATCAAGCACTGCTCTGCTGGAACCAGTACACAGCGGAGAATGGGAGTGGCCTATCCAGCACTACCTACCTACCCACCTACCTTGACGGTCATGAGGAGCCGATGCGATAATCATCCGACATTCATCCTGTGGCTGAGGATCGTGAAAACCAGCATCAGAAGCTAATTTTAGATGCATGGAGAGTGAGAGACATGCTGTTAATTATACAGTTACCCAGCCGCTCATGCATGTACCGGGATTGAAAAGGGGATATGGGGAAGTGGGGTACGGATATACCAGTACTCATCTACCGAAATCGCCGGGCTCATTCAGCAATCAGCACTGGTCACCTTGCGGCCTTCAACAACCACATCCTCATCGGTCTCAGTATCATTGGAGCAGGCAAAAGTACCTTGCTCGGGTAGGCCTTCCCCAAGGCCACCAATTCTTACCTTAACCTTCACCTCGTCTCACACGTGGATGCACTGAGCAAGCTGAAATCTCGCATTCGATTTACGTTTCTTCTTCATACCTTGTCTTACCCTATATTGGTTTAATGGCTCGGATATCTTCACTTTATAAAGCCACCGGCATTTTACCGTTCCCTTTCCTTACATCTTATCGTCAATAGTGCATCTAGTAACTCTCTTCCGTAACGAACGAGCTGCAACGATTGCCCCTCTGGAGACTGCTTCCATACCGACTGCCAAAAGGCCGCGAGCTTATCTGTAGAGCTACGTAGAGCTCGCAATACCACTCAGTGTCTGTGAAACGAGCGCGATGGACGTGTGTAGCGAGAACAGCGCGACTCCCGCGGATGGACCGTCAAGAGTGAAGCTTCAACTTCCAGCTAGCTGTGATCCACCACAACTTGACGGCGAGAGAAAGCAGCTGGTCTGGGTTGTAAGTGATGGGACACCCTCATGTTACTTTCTGACGTTGACTGAGCACTTCCTGTGCAGGTATTTGGTGGAACCGGCCACATGGGTAGATCTCTTGTCAAGTCCGCCTTGTCCAAAGGAGATCTCGTCACTTCCGTGGGCCGTGTGTTCGAGACGACGCCGGAGGAAATGGTAGCACAGCAGGACAATGAAAATTGTTTGGGGATGCTGTGTGACGTTCGAGCGAGAGACTCAGTAGCGCGGGTCATTGAACGGACCTTGGAGCGGTTTCAGCGATTTGACGTCGTAGCCAACTGTTCTGGCTATGGCGTAATTGGAGCATGTGAGGACCAGGACGAGCACGAGATCCGCAATCAGTTCGAGACGAACTTCATGGGCACTTTGAACATTATCCAAGCCAGCCTACCTTACTTTCGCCAACAAAACGGCGGCCGCTACCTGATTTTCAGCTCGACGTCAGGAGCTCTGGGTGTTCCAGGCCTCGGCCCCTATTGTGCCACCAAATATGCCGTCGAGGGACTCATAGAAGCTATGCTTTACGAGACAGACTCATTCAACGTCAAGGCAACACTCGTAGAGCCAGGGTTCGTGAGAAGGGACGAGCCAGATACCCTTGCGACGCCCTTACCAACCTGGGGTCATTTCCTCATCAAGCCTGCGAGCGATGCCTACGCACAGGCAACATCACCAGCATTGCATGCAAAAAGAATGGTTCAGTGGCTCGGTGACCGGCAGCCGACAAGCGCCGTCAAGTGCGCGGAGCTCGTCTGGCAATTAGCTCATTGCTCGTACCCCCCGCTGCGGCTCCTTCTGGGGAGCTATGCAATAGAGAGTATTCGTGATAGGCTGCGGTCCGTCACCGAAGAATTGGAGGATTGGAAACATCTGAATTTCCCCTCTCCGCCTGATGAAGGGGAGGGAAAGGAGGCGCGAGCAGATCACGATGAAAGCATGGCCGACTCTGGGCAGGATGCGCCTGGCCAGGTGACTGCGTAGGAGTTGTGTACCGAGTTATAGTGAAATTTGAGTTCTTCGTTTTTCTGTTTCAATGGCGAAGATGCGAAGATGCGAAGATGCGAACGGTGGCTCCAGTCTCTCGTAAACTGCAATGCGCAAGGAGTTCTCGGTGCTTCAAGCTTTGCCAGACATCGGGGATATTCTTCTACAAGAAAGTAGTGCGAATATCTCACTTACCTAGGCATATACGGATAGGTAGGCATCATCCCGAAAGACAGCGCCAGGGGCCAACCTCACGGTCTTGCCTTATGTAGTTCTGAAGAATAAGAAGAAAAGCAAAGAGGAAAAAACCAGGAGGAAAAAGGGACAGGGTGAGGCGGCGTGACACTTTCCCTTACTGTGCCCTGTGGTCGAATTGGAATGGTGCACCCCTGGGTCTGCCAGGTGTCCAGTGGTCCCTTGCATTCATCCCTTCTTACCAAAGATACTTTCATGGCTCCTTGACTGGGCTGTCGCGGGCGGTATTTGGGGAGCTTACGTGCCCCGAAATTCTCCACCTGGCCTGTAGAAAGCACTAAGGCCATCCAATCTGAGATGAAATTCCGTGACCCTTGATAGGTAGGCGCACGCGTGTTCCCCTGCGTTCCCGTCCCGTTCGTTCTAATTAATGCCCAAGAGCATTTGACCCCCTTAACCTCCGTTTTCTTTCTTGACCCCAGATCTTCAACAACGCTTCCCCTAGAGCCAGATCACCGCGTCCGCAGACAACGAAGCGTGAAGGACCGCAGCTACGACTCGATCAACCCATCACTACCTTCTACCTCGTCGAAGTCGCGAGGCCGTTCATACACGATTCTCCCCGTTACCGAATCTCGGCGCATTCGCAAGCTCTACGGCTGCATCCCGCGCCAAACCCGTTGAAGCCAGCTTGCTTCCACTGCCAACTTGACATACCGTCTAGACAATTGTACATCAAGCGCCATCATGTCGGACAAGAAGAACGAGGATTACGAGCTCCGCCCCTCCGAGTCATTTGGAGAGAAGGATGGCTTTCTGGCTCGGCCTCCTCCAAGGCCGCGTCCTACTCTGGGATCGCCAATCAGCAAGATTGACAACAGTCCCGGCGCTGCCATTCTCGCCTACTGCTTCTCTTCCATCAGCATGACAGTCGTCAACAAATATGTTGTTTCAGGCCAGTTCTGGAACCTCAACTTTCTTTACCTTGCTGTCCAGGTGCGTTCTATCCAAAGGCAAATCCCCAGTCACGACCACCTCTAACTCAGCCCTGTCATCCAGTCCATCGTGTGCATCCTTACCATTATCGTGTGCAAGAACCTCGGAATGATTACGAACCTGGCGCCATTCGACACTGACAAGGCAAAGAAATGTTGGTCTCGTCTCACGTGATGCAGGCATCGGCCAAAGCTTACTATCTGCAGGGTTCCCTATCGCACTCCTCCTGGTTGGCATGATTTACACGGGCACCAAGGCCTTGCAATTTCTCTCTGTGCCGGTATACACCATCTTCAAGAACTTGACCATCATCGTCATCGCGTACGGCGAGGTTTTGTGGTTCGGCGGCAGTGTTAGCCCTCTTGCCCTTCTCTCTTTTGGCCTGATGGTCCTCAGCTCCGTTGTTGCCGCCTGGGCTGATGTCCAGCATGCTCTTGGAGGTGGCTCGCAGTCTGCCGAAGCCTCTGCCGCCGTTTCGACCTTGAACGCTGGGTACGCGTGGATGGGCATGAACGTTTGCTGCACTGCGGCCTATGTGCTGGGCATGCGCAAAGTTATCAAGAAGATGAACTTCAAGGACTGGGACAGTGAGTTGCCCTGAACGTTCAGGCGTTCCCCACTGATTGGCAGAATTTGCTGACGAGTGTGTTATAAAGCCATGTTCTACAACAACCTTTTGACGATTCCCGTCCTAATCGTTTGCACATTCCTTGCCGAGGACTGGTCTTCGGCAAACATCGAGAAGAACTTCCCCGTCGAGTCGCGCAACAGCCTGTTTGTCGGCATGATCTACTCGGGACTCTGCGCCATTTTCATATCCTACTGCTCTGCATGGTGCATTCGTGTGACCTCGTCAACGACGTACTCCGTGGTTGGCGCGCTCAACAAGCTTCCCATCGCCATCAGTGGTCTGGTCTTCTTCGACGCCCCTGTCACATTTGGCAGTGTGTCGGCTATTGTTGTTGGCTTCATCAGCGGTATTGTCTACGCGTGGGCAAGGATTCGTCAGACGGAGGCTTCCAAGATGTCATTGCCGACGACACAACCCATGAGCGCGAGCTCGCAAAGCAATAGGGATGCAAACAAGTAGTGGCTGCTAGTATGGAAAGGTTGCCGGAATAGAGGCAAGTTTTGGGCGCAGCTTGTCCACGTGAGAACCTTGTGTTGGTGGCACGCTGATGACGGCCGTCATCTATCCCATTTTGGACAGCCGTGTGGGAGTGATGGCCGAGGGCGCAATACAATTCGAACTCGGCCAGGTTCGGCTTCGCTCTGCTCTTGAGATCAGAATAGACAAGAAAACCTGTGCCACGATGCATGCTTCAGCCTTTGGGATGTGGGCGGAAGAGCGGAAAAAGGAGAAGCACGAGATGATAAGATACGAAAAGGCGCGTTAGAATACTGCAACATTTCGTTTGCTGACGAAATGAATGTGGAACGATAGCACAGTACTATGGAGTATGTAGCAATGTTGTAATGCCATGACACTGATTCCACACAGGCCCTGACAATATTCCCGTTAGGAAATGGTCGGCAGGGGGCGACATATCTGCGATCCATTATAACGATTGATTCAACAAGAGGTGGCGGTGAGTTTGGTTGAGATGTTGAATATTCCGAGGCGCCCCAATCGGTTGAAGAAAATTGCGACGCTGACAGCGCCCCACGTACCCACGTCAAAGCTTAGAGGGGGGCAGCTTGCTTCGTGGGATTTGAAGTAGTAAACGGTCCTCAAGAGAGAAATGCGAGCCATCAACATGTTTTGATTAGATGGCTTGACGACCTAGGTGTCTTTCGCACCTGAACTGCTAGGCTACCCTAAGGTAACTCATTACTTAACTCCCCAATCTTAGGTGAGGGAGGAAGCAATAGTGGTTCTTGTTGAAAAGATTGGAACTGATGCCCGTGGGGCTCTCTATAAAACTGTATGAAGTAAGGTAGAACATACCTGAGGTATGTAGTTACCAGTCATCAAGACCCGTGACATCACACTCCACGGTACGTTAGGGTGGACACTGCTCCAAGCTTCCTCTAGCGCGTAGCCTCGGAAAACCACATAAGGCAAACTTAGAGTAGTATAAGTTAATTAAACATATATTTCGAAATTCTCGTATTTTTATTAATAATTTATGAAATATAGGTACTGTGGCTTATAATATAAGTTAAGATTTCTTATTATAAATTTTATAAAGTAAAAAGAATTATAATTTCGTATTAATTTTTTTCTCTATTAAAAAGAGAGTTTTTAATAATATTAGAAAAATAGGATTTATTTTTTCTTCTCTCTCTCCGAAGTTTAATGTTTCTTCTAATGAGAGGAGGCAAGGAAATCCGTTGGCGTTGTTCAGTAAGTGGGGGTAGAAGTTCCAGGGGATGCCTTTACCGTCCCCTCCCCCTTGCGATCTGACAATAGCCCATCGCCAACAGGTCCACGTGCCATTCCAGCCGTCACACGAAGCTGCTGTTCGTGTTTTTTTTTCTTTAGGACGATCCGCAGTCATAGCTGTGTTGGCATAACCAGCTGTCTCCTGCCCGCTTAGCTCCCGCCCCGTCATCCGAAGTTGGCACGCCGCCACATGATCCCAACATCCATCACCAGAGTCAAAAAACCTCATTCGACAACTCCCCAAGTAATCGCTTATTTTCCCTCGGCGCAAGGTCGATCTCTCCGAGCCTCCACCTCTCGGTGTTTCGCTTCTCCTCTAACTCATCTTCAAAGAGATATGGCCTAAGCGTAACTTCATCGTCTTCTCCTACTGCATGTCAGCCTTGCACCTTGTCGTCGTTGTCGGATCTATTCGATAAGTGGCAACGGCAGTTCTAGCCAATATGTTGCCCTTCATCCATAAGCGTACGTAAAGTGCACCCTCGACCAATACCTTGCTAATTCTACCTATGCCGGCTTCTTCCACTACTGAAGCCTCTCTTGCTAACTTTTGCTTGCCTCTGTAGCTTTCGAGCTTCTTGCTTCGCGCATCGGCGCATCTCCAGACGAACGTCGGTCCATCCCATCAAGCTCGGCTACATCGCAAAGCTCTACGAAGCCCCGTCCCTAATAGAGCACCAGCACTGACATCACGACTTCCAGTCAAGCTCGTCTTTTCGTTCCTCATATCATATCTCAAACGAGTTCCCGACTCCAGGCCTGACCTCAAAAACCTCTTCATAATAAGGTATGCTACCCAGCAGATACCCAAGCTGTTTCCTTTGTCTCTTCCAACTGGTCTTGTCGTTGACACTTCGACTCTTGGACTAGCACCTCTACTTTCTATCTTGTCGGGCTTTTCGATTTGTGGGATGGAGTGCGCACCCTTGCTATTGCCTCTGCCGGCATCTACAGCATTGCGAAGTACATGCGCACCAGCCCATTCATGCCATGGGTCGGCTTCACGTTTCTCATGGGCCACATGTCCATAAGTCACATCGCTCGTCAAGTAACCAATAGCCCGTCTTCCGTCGATATCACTGGCGCCCAGATGGTGCTTTTGATGAAGCTTAGCGGTTTCTGCTGGAACGTCGCGGACGGTCAGCTCCCGGACGACCAGGTATCTGAGTACCAAAAAGAGAGAAGACTGATCGAGCTACCCAGTATCATGGACTATGCTGGGTACGTACTCTTCTTTCCTTCGCTCTTCGCCGGACCTGCTTTTGACTACACCGACTATCGCAAATGGATAGACACTACAATGTTTGACCTTCCGGCCCAAGTCGATCCCTCAAAGAAGCCTCCTGTCAGGAAGAAGAGGAAGATCCCTCGCAGTGGGACACCTGCTACCTTGAAAGCTGCCAGTGGTCTGGGGTGGATTGCGCTTTTCATGATTCTCTCTGGTTACTACCCAATCACCTACTTAACGAGTCCTTCGTACATGGATCATGGGTTCTTCCACAGGGTATGGATTCTCCACATGGTCGGATTTACCGCTCGTTTGAAATACTATGGAGTTTGGTGCCTGACCGAGGGCGCCTGTATCTTGGCCGGCCTGGGCTATAATGGTGTTGATCCTGTCACCGGTAAAGTATCATGGAACAGGTTACAAAACATCAACCCTTGGGGCGTCGAGACAGCCCAGAACACGCGCGCCTACCTTGGCAACTGGAACATCAACACCAACAATTGGTTGAGGAACTATGTATACCTTCGGGTTACGCCTGTTGGTAAAAAGCCCGGATTCCGTGCCAGCCTTCTCACGTTCAGTACTAGTGCGCTCTGGCACGGCTTTTATCCTGGCTATTACATGAGCTTCATCCTAGCCAGCTTCATCCAGACTGTAGCCAAGAGTAAGTACACCTACGAGAGAGCTACTGCAGGCTTAGAAGAGTGCTATGATCGACTAACATCTATGATAGACTATCGCCGCTACTTTCGCGCTTTCTTCCTCGACGCGACCAGTGGTGCGCCTACTTCCAACAAGGTCTACTACGACGTCCTCTCGCTTTTCGTTACTCAAATTGGCATGTCCTTCGTTGTCACCCCATTCCTTGTTCTAGAGTTCTCCGGTTCGGTCCAGGTGTGGGCTCGTGTTTACTTCTATACCATTGTCGGCACTGCGCTTTCCATGGCCTTCTTTGCCTCTCCGGCAAAACAAATCCTTCGCAAGCAACTCGAGGCACGTCAAGGCAAAGGCGGTGCCAAGCTGACCCGTACCTTGAGCCAAGACAGTCTAACAGGGCGGGAACCAGTCTTGGGTGTGTCGGCGGACCCTCAGCGAGAGATCGACGAGGCCATGGAGGAAATCAAAGCCGAAGTGGAAGCCAGACAAAGAAGCAAAGCTACTTGAAGACCGGGAAAGGGCGGCATCTTTGCAGATAATTGTTCCCGTCTCCATCCAGAGCGGCCCTTGTTTCTGCATACATGAAAACAGGGTTGATGGGTCTAGAACTGTTGTCAAGGTCGCGAAATGGGCCAGGCATTGGATTGTAAGATGCCCTACAAGGGCAGGTCATTAGACATTGCAGGCTATGCAGATCTAGAACTAAACCATTATAATATGATGTCTATATCCCACAACAGCAACGTGATGCCACTGTCTGGCTCAGTCGTCTCCAATCACCCAACACCAATCCCAGCATGTTTGACTCCCGTGTAAAGCCAAGGGGGGTATCGTCAAGCAATCCAAGTCGCCCAACGAGAGAAAATCAGAAGGAAATGCCATCATGTTGTCATCAAGGGTATGGCTCAATCTGGCCAGGTGTACAATTACAGCGAACTATGTATGGCTAGCAACCGTCGTCATTGTGCGGAGCCATTAGACTGGACGATAGAAAAGGCCCCATGGCCGGCCGCCGAGAAAACTTGGTATGTGCATGTCTATAATAGAAAAAAAAAATAAATGATGTCGTAAATTCGTGAAGGGATTAAGTCGTTACCCCAGTCGTGATGCCGGTGCGCTGAATTTCAACGGCCAATGATGCTTTTGATGAATACTCGTTTGTTGCTGAGGCCAAAAGCCATGTACCGCGGCGTGTTCGGGCACCAAATCCCTTTGTTTGAGGTGGTGCATACAATTAGAAAGGAGGCGGCTTGGAGTAGGCAGCTACACCATTTGGCCCCAGCCTTGCTTTACGCCGACGACAACGAGAGCCGCAATGGCGCCAACGACCAGAAGACCAATGACGGACATGTACCGATTAAGTGCACGCCACCAACGGGCGCTTTGGAAAAGAGTCTCGTCAACCGCCGCAACTCTCCGAGGAAGGTCTCGTTCTTCGTCCAACAGGCTTGATCGTGGGTCGCGCTCGGCCATCTCAGCTTGAGGGTCAGGGGGTAGTGGAAGGAAGGCAGCAATCATCCATGCTGGCTCAGATTAGCCTTGTGTCAATACAGTGCCGTTGAGTAGGAGTGTCTCACCAAATGGGAAAATGAATCCCAGAGCGAAGAAAGCAACCTGCACGTTTCGCTTCCCCAACATGCTCGTCTCGGCTGACCACGTCATAGAAGGTGGTTCCCAGATGCTGTGGCGACCAGCCCTCTGATCACGCCGCAAGTGGGGTGACCAGATGCTGGATGTCTTCTTCCTTAACCCGCTGCGCATTCGGTTGTCTGTCAACGGTGCTTGGCTGATTTCCATGGAGCCGACATCTGACAGCGGC